AAATTAGCTTTAGCTTCAGTTTTAGATGAAAAACCTGGAAGTTCAGAAAACAACCTGGAAGTTCAGGAAAAACAACCTGGAAGTTTTAGAAAGCGTCAAGAAAGAGTTAAAACCCTGTCATTAAAAAGTGCAGGCAGTTCTGAGCTCTTCATGCCTCCCGATGTCAGCCGCTGTGCTGAAGGTTTGGTGCCACAGGAAATGCTTTGACTACGTTGGATTGTGAGGAGAGCAGACAGCAGGTCATGACATCAGGGTGAGGATGTGATGTCATAGACAGGCAGCTGGCGGCCTCAAGCGTCTGCAGCCAGATTTATCTCTCGGATCTTCGATGTCCTGATTAATCTCAATCAAAGAGCAGCTCGGGAAAACAGCTTCACTGAACAGGGTTTTATGAGAAAGATGGCTTTGAAAAGAAATGTTTATACAAACAAACATCTCTGCTACGTTATTTTGATAAAAATATGTAAAGTTCTCAGTCACATGAACCTGTAAAAAATATTTTTCTCCTCTTCTCAACTTTCTGAGATCCGTTTAGCACCAAGCAGTGATCTAAACAGAACCTGGTCGTGTAAAATCTCTGGATTATTGGCTGAGTTTTGGAGTAACTATTTACTGAATTACATTTACATGAGTAACGTTTTTTGTACTTTTAGGAGTATTTTTACTTTTATTTGAGTCATTTTAATCTGAAGTATTTCTACTCCGACTTCTGGATTTTTTCCCACTGGATGAAAAACAAACATGATTTAACCCACAATTCCCCAGACGCAGACACACACCTGCAGTTTGTGTTAAACTTTCATCAGTTCTTTACTAAAACAAACTGATTCTGATCATTTTATCTCTCCTGATTGTGTTGTTTTGTTACTTGTATAAATAATTGTCATTTTGGTCCTTAAAATACCAAAAATTGAACTTAACTTTATATATTAGTCCGTCTGATGATACAATTTGTAAATATTAAATGCTAGATAATTTGATCAGTTGCTCAGTACTTTTTACCAAATACTTTTTTTAATTTTACTTGAGTAATTTCTTGGATGACTACTTTTTACTTTTACTCTGGTAAAAATATGTTGAAGTATTTCTACTCTGACGTGAGTACAGTATCTGGTGACTCTACCCACTTCTGTCAATACATAAATATTTGGTTCTGTGAAGTTTCTGCATCAACCCGTTTGTTCGCACTCTGTCACCAAAAACGCCTGGTCCGGTTTTTATTTTTCATCCTGATGCTTATTGACCGTTGGCAGAGATCTCGTGTGGAATCAATCCCCGCTCTGACTGAATGGGCGGCTGCTTGTTCAGCAGCGCCGAACGATGTCAGCCGGCGAAAATAAGACGAGGAGTCTGTTTGTGTCGCCACCGGAGACTAATCCGCTCTGCGTCTGGTTCCCCCCGCTCGTCCCTCATGTCGTTTTCCCGCCGTTTTATGGTTCTTTTCTTCCCCTCCTCCTCCTGTTTCTGTGCGGCCTGTCTGTGGGAGTGAGTGATGAGGGACGGAGAGGGTCCATCCGTCACCGCGGATGCTGCGCGTGTCGGTGTGTGAGTGTGTGTCATCTGGCGCTGGGTGGCCTCCCACTGATGTACGGGGGATCCGTCATGTCTTTCTGTCACAACAGCAGACATGCATGAGCGGCTATACACACCCCGAAACACACACACACACACTTAAACACACACAAAATCTGTCTCTCACTTTGCCTCCTAATTTAATTAACCAGTGTTTGATTAAACTATTATGTAACATTTTCCATTTACTTCAGTTCTCTTTCTCAGTTTCAGTGTGATTAAAGTTGACTTACTTATGTAAAGCTAAGTATTTAAATAAGGCAAACCTAAAGGATATAATTTCAGTTGGAACAAAAACAAATATCGGTTTTTGCAGCAGCTCTTAATACTTTTCTTCCTGTTGATGTATCTGTACAAAATCTTCTTACCATGTAATTTTGGTCAAATTTCCAGAGAAAATATTGCAGCTGGGATATTTTTTTAAAACTAATTATTTAAAAAAGGCAGCACAAAAGTAGTGTTAGCTGAAACAAGAGCTCAAAGAAAGACAATCATTTTGTATAGTTGCCCTACATACTTTTCTGCCCATCGATGCATCTGTTTGTCGTCTCTTGACTCGAAGTCAAGCTAAAAGCTAGCCTAATTCAAGCTAACATCTGTATGTCGTGCTCACAGATATTGGATCTTCATAGCAGGTATGTTACACACACACAGTATTTAGGAATAATGAAGCATCTGCTGTTGATTTGTTGATGGGGGGACCCAATGAAAATCTGCTTTGGGCTCCAAAAAGGCTTGGACCGGCCCTGCTGTGCAGCACTTTGTCATATGAGATTTTAGTTTAAGTTTCACTAAACATCGAGTTTGAGATGCTTGAAACTGTTCAAATGGACTTTAAAAACAACTGCAGTTTAGATTATGTCTTCGGAGGAAAACAAATAGACTTACTTCTTGTTTTGAGCGCCCCCTGCTGGCCACCAGAGGAACCATTGATAATAATGTCTGGGTTGTTTAGCAGGAGAAGGAAGGACAGGCAGAAGATGGAGGATCAAACTGGTTTGGAGTTCAGGATGTAAACGTGAGAGGACATTGGACCGCCTGTCCTTTGAGACAAACAGGAAGTGACCTGTCAAAACACTTCCTGTTGTCTTCCAGAGTCATCTGTGCAGACAGATGTGCATCTGTCTCCTGTGAGCCTGCGGTGAGAATAACATGTGCAAACGAGGCCTAATAGTGTGTTATCTCATTAAGCTTCACAGCGGCTCACACCAGGAGTCTAACTTTCAGAGCTGCTGGAATAAAAAATAATTTTCCAAATAGTTTCACACAGTAAGGTAAGAAACTTTCATATATAAAATAAATTATTTTAGTTTATTTATGTGTTTCTCGCCGTTTTTCTTCTTCCATGCTGTTTATTTCTTATCAGGTTTAGATTATTGTTATTTTAAAGAGCTTGTTCTTAATAATAATTTATGAATATTTATTTTAAGTGAGTTTGCTTTAAGAAGTATAGATTTTTTTTATTTAAGGATCCATTTCTAGGTCCGGCCGAGTTTTCTTTTTCTCCTGACTTTTGTGGGGAAAGAAATAAAAATCTCTGAAATTTAAATATTTTAAAAGGTTTTTCCCGTCGAGGAGCATTTTGTTGCTGAATAAAAACAACCAGCTGCGTTTTTCTATTAAGCATTTCTAAATTTAAAATATTCATTTCTTTCATTTTTCAACAGAATTGAAAATATGTTTTTATTTGACTATTTTTTGTTCTCTATTTTATTTGGCTTATATTTCAAGGGCAAGTTCAAATTAATTATAAAGTATGTTTTTTCTTCTCATACAGCACAAGAACTTTTTTTGTTTGCCTATAAAAGAAAACAATTTTTTTTCTGATCTCCAAAAGTCACAAATTATTGCAAGAACAAAATATCAGATATTTTTAGATTTATTTCAAACATTTTCAAGAAAAAAAGAAAGCTTCCTAGCTTGAAATGTCAAAAGAAAATGCTAGAAATAAAATCAGAAATTTTGAAATTAATGTTTTTTGAAAAAAAAATTGAAATCTGTTTTAAATTTTTAAAAATTTCATAGATTTTCTGCAGAAGTCTGCTCCTTTTTTCTTCCTACAACACAGCGATTTGTGGAGTTCATAGAGAATTGTCCTGTAAACAGATCGGCCCACCTCTTTTCCTTCTTCTGTTAATTCAACACAATTAATTTTTGAGTGCAGTTTGGTCAGGATCTGATGAATCTCTGGTTTCCCACACAGCAAACGCACCGCAGATATTCAGTTTAATTAACCGGATTAATCACTTAATGATCCAGGTAGTTCTTCGGATCGTGTAGAAGATATTGATCAGCTCTGCACACCCCCACACTGTGATAGTAATCTGATTACACTTTCCGACTCCGTTTGCTGTAATGGAGTTAAAGTAATGAATGGCAGAGAAACTAATGGATGTGTAATTAACGAGCGATGTAATTGTTTATGTGCTGTGAGTGGACGGACAGAAGGACGCAGAAAAGAGATAGAAATCAGAAAGATGGAGGGAAGGAGGGAGAGGAAGCAAACTCCTTGTTCAGGCGAATTTTCCTTCACATCAAGGCTCCAAATCAATCCTGCAAATTGTTTTGTTCCCCAACAAGGTTACCAAATGACGGGGAAACGGAGGGAACGTGCTGGAGAAGGAGAGGTGGAATAAAAGATGGAATACGTAACGAGATGGAGAGAGGATTGTGCCACGGTGTGACGGTCTGACAGAACCGGGTTCATCGTTTGTTTTGTGACTAAACGGTTCTGTTCGTTCACGCTGCGTACGATCTTGTTACCCCGTCGCAGTGAAATGTTTAGTTCATTTCCCTGTAAATGTTTTAGTTTGCTTCTGGGAGTTTAGTTCTTCATGCTGGAACAAACAGGGTGGTAGCCCAGGGCTGCAATTGTTGGGGGCGGCCCAGACTTTATTATTATTTTTTAAAATAAAAGTATATTTTTTTATTTGTACTTTATATGTCAGATGAATTGTAAATTATGAATGTAATTTTTATATTCATCAGGGAACGTATTAAGTACTCCACGCATCAATTCATGTGTAGATATAATTACAGAACAGCAAATTAAGGCAGAAGAAACACTTTCATAAATATATAATATATGAGAGAACAGGATAAAGTCCTAGTGACACTGTAGTTACATAGTGTTTTCTTTTTGACCATCAAATGTCTCTAATGAAACTGACATCAGAGCTTGTATTCAAATAATAATTCCAACTTCAGCATAAACTGTATTTCTGTATTTTGTGTATCTTTGATTATATTTGTTCTTCATTTAGTGGAGTAACTAAAGTATCATGAAACTTTACTCTAGTACTTTATAGTAAAATTAAAAAGTATTATGCAGTAAAGGTACATTTTTCCAAAAAGTTACTCATGTAGATGTAACTATTTGCTGTGACCTGTGACCTCTGTCGATGCGTTCTGGTTTGTGTGTCTTAAAGGAACACTTCACGCCGGAGTGTAAGTTTAAGGAGTGCGTCTTCGAGAACTACTACGTCACATACTCGTCCATCCTGTACCGGCAGACCCAGTCGGGGCGAGCCTGGTACATCGGCATCAACCGGGACGGCCAGGTCATGAAGGGAAACCGTGTCAAGAAGACCAAGGGTGCTGCTCACTTCCTGCCCAAACTCATCGAAGGTACGAAGCACAAACACAGTTATTTAGAGTTTTGTTTTTTTTTTTAGCTACTTATGTCAGTTTGACATTATTTTAGCGATGAAAACTGATATTGTTTCTAATGTAATGGCAAGGAACCAACATTATATCTCAATACTTATAACTATTAGTTATTAAAACAGAGTGAATGAAGCCGGACGTTTTCTGCCTGCTGTTATTATGTCAACGTATTCAAAGTTTAACTAACCCTGAAGTCTTCTGACACTCCGGGTTACAACAGCAAACTCAGGGAGCTAAAGTAACTCATGCAGGTTTGGAGGCAAAAAAGTTAACGAGGGATAATTACAACGAGGAAAAGTCAAATAACAAGCTTTAATTTCGTCCAATCAGGTGTGAGAATTTGAGGAACCCCAAAAAACAAGGAGTTGCTCAAATTCTCACACCTGATTGGACGAAAAACGGAGTGGCGTGGCCAAATGTGATGATGAGAGGAGCTGTGGTCGGGACGAGGGAATATACACTCGCTAGCTTATAAACTAGACCCTCTGGCAACTTTTTTATTAGAAAGATCAACTGGTGACATAAAGATTTTGAACAGGATAATTCAACTGCTCAGGCACCGTTTGACCCAAAATATTGCATAACTAAATAAAACTACGTAAAATGTCAAAATTACACAGAAAGGCAGAACCATAAGTAACCTGTTTAGACGTGTATTGCAGATCTTCGCCAGGAAACCAACAGTTCACCAGATCTCTGCCAGAATGTTGTTGATGGCTTGGAAAACACTGGGAACGATTCTGACTGGTCTAAATGGAACCAAACTGTCCAGTTTAACCAACAAATACTGAGGTCTAACAAGGTTGTGTTCGAACCTTTTCAGTTTTGATGGACTTCCTGTGTTTGTTTTCCCAACTCAGTGGCGATGTACAGGGAGCCCTCCTTACACGACGTCGCCGAACAGAGTCCGCCCCGAAAAACGCCCAAGACCTCCAGTGACTCGCCCGTGCTTAACAACGGCAAGAAAGAAGCTCAGTCCAAAACCAAAACCTCCTCCTCCTAGCACAGAGACGCGGCGCGGAGGACAGGATGGACGACGCGGGGCGGCGCTCACCAGCGGACAGCAAACCTTGACTCGGGATGTGGACCTGAAACGTCCGGGTGTTCAAAGGTCCATGCAGGGGGATGCTGGGAAAGGGGAAGTCCCCTTTTGTCTTCTACCACACCAGCCCTCCACCTCTACGGTCAGCTGAACTCGGGGTGTAATAGCAATAACTCAGTGTAGAGCTGAACAGTGGCCTAGTGTTTTAAAGCATGTCACCACAGCCTGTCTCACCAGCTGGAAGGACGCCCTCCGGCCGTCACGCCAGCGAGGAACCCTCCGGTCAACCAAATATCCCAGCAAGGTCTTCCTGGTTCCACCGCGACGGGTGCAACGAGAAAATCTGTCCCCCTGCAGCACATTCTTCACAAATGGGTTTTTATCTCCCTGCAGGGTTTTCAGCTAATGTTAGCTTGACACAAAGCCATGTTAATGTGAGGCTGTCACACTGTTTCAGTTCTGCGGCCATCTGCTGCGTCCACATCTTCTGTTTGCGTCAGCAACTTTCAAAGATGGCCTGAATTCTCATCAGGCTTGTGTGTAAATGTGTGTGTGTGTATATATTCCAGTGTTTTCCCTTCTTTTTCACTCACCTTTGGCACAATTTGATTAGTTTGTGACATGGACTCAATTTTCCACTCTGCGGCACAATAAAACTCCCTCCCGTCCCTCCGGCTCTGCTAATGGAGTCGGAGGCTGATCAGAATCTTTCAACCCTTAAACAAGCAGCCAATCACTCCCTCGACACACTCCATAATCACACACACACACACTCATATGTATTCTGTTGAACTTACATATGAAAATGATCTCATGACCATTACGATGACATGCATTCAGTCAGTGGCAGCAGGTGATGGAAGACATAATGAGTTGTAATGGAGCTGCTGTGATTGCGTTGCAATGGCTTTTCTTTTACACAAACCCTCCAGGGCAACATAGCATCTGCATGTCATTGCTGCCAAACTAAATATGCTGATTATTTATTTTTTTACGGATCTACAAACGCGTGTCGAGCTGCATATGCAAATTATCGGAAACACTGTCAAAAGGTCAAGCATTTTGTTGACCGTGCTCACGTCACTGAGCATGTTGGAGTCGGTTCAAATATTAGTTTTGTGGATATTTAATCCCCACATCAATCAGCTAGCGTCCATTAGAACGGGATGCTGTTTGATTATGCTGGTGATGAGAAAAATGGCAAGTCATGCAGCTATGCAGAAGGTTTCTTTTTATTAAATAGTTTAAGACAAAAACATCAAGCGTAAATAATTCAATTAGAGAAGTGGGTTGTTATTGTTTCAGCGTTTATTATCAGGGGACAACGGACAAATTCAAGGTGAAAATGATCAAAGGGGAGTCAAAGAAACTCAATTAAGCCAACAGCTCCCAAAACTCAACCTAATAATTATTTAAATGTAAGCTAATGGCCACCCTGAGTCAAGCTAATAGCTATGCAGTTGAGCTAACAACTGTTTAGTTGAGCTAACTGTTTTTGGAGTTAGCCCAGCTGCATACAGACTTAATCTAACAATTACTGAATAAGGGAAGCTAATTGCTACTCAAAGCTGAGCTAACAGCTACCTGAATTAATAGCTTCTCAGAGTCAAGCTAATTCATCAGAGTTGAGCTAATAACTATCCAGAACCAAATTTCTCAGAACCAAGCTAACGATTTTTCAGAGTTGAGCTATCAATCACTCAGAGTAAATCTAATAGCTCCTCGTCAAGAAAACAGCTAACCAGAGTCAAACCAACAATTTTCCAAGTTAATACTTACTCGGAGTTAGCAGTCACTCCAAGTTTAGCTACCATTTATTCAGAGTCAAGCTATCAGCTCCTAGTCAAGTAAACAGCTATCCATAGCCAAACCGACTATTTGTTTAAGCTGAGCTAACAGCTACTCATAGTTTAGTCTATAGCTACCCAAAGTCAAATTAGCATTTACTCAAAATTAATGCTACATTTATAACATGGTGCATTTCGGTTTGTAAACAGCCTCCAGGGGAAACGAGGCATTAGATTCAAGCTAGCATTTACTCTCAGACTCAAACTAGCAGCCCAAGGTCAAGGTGACAGCTAAACAATTGAGCTAACAGCTAACTAGAGTCAAGCTAACATCTACTTAGAGTGACGCGACAGCTGCTCAGAGTTTAGAAGTTGTCTAGTAGCCATTTAAAGTGGCACTAGGGACTAATTACAATCTTTCTAATAAAGACTGTTTTAGAATCTTCATTAGATTCCAGGACCTGTTGGAAGAAATATTTCCCAACTCTGAAACCCTTTGTCACTCTAATTGAGCAAGTTCTCTCTAATATTTTATTATTTATCCAACATTAAGAACCAAAGTTTCTTTCACATTCAAGGTAACTCAATTATTGTCATAACTGGGGTTCATGTAGATAAATTTAAGGGCTGGATCATGTGCATGAGCCTCAAGGGACGGCAGTGACTTTCTTTTTTATGGTCTTATTACGTTTTTATTGTCATCAACATTGATAAAGAAGTGAATTTTTTAGCAGTCTAGTTTTACAGTGTGGTAATAATGTTCAAGGTGATATTTCACCTATGTGGACTTGAAAAAGTGTTGAAACTGGTCAACTTTCCCACAAACTTTACTCTACATGACCTCCAGACATTTAAACATTATTAACAAAATTTAAAACTTAAATCTATACTGTTTATGTAGGATTTTACAAAAAATAAATAGATGTCATCAAATGGCATGATGGGAACTGGAGACATAATTAAATCATTTTTCCACATTAAACTTTCTTGGTACAATTTGATCAAAAGAGTAATTGTTTATAGCATAAAAGTAATGTATCATAGAAAATGAGTGGAAGTAAAGCAACGTAGAAGAAAAATAGATTGGGTAAAGGAGGCAAAAGGACATTTTATAGAGGGTAATTAGTGATGATAAGCAGAACAAAAAAAGATTGAAGAGGGAATTACTGCACTGGACGGACGCTCTTTTTTGCACGTTTCTCCTTCCATGCATAATCTTTTGCTCCCTTGAACCTGTAGTTGTAAATAATAATAAGTGATAACCAAATCAGGCAAAGCGCTGAGCTAAGTAATCTGCTACCTGGGAGATAAAGCTTTCCAGAGGAAATCGAGGGCAGTTCGGTGATGAATAAAAAATTAGAGAGGGAAATATATTAGGAGACAAAATGAGGAAGCAAAGAAGAGAGAAAAGAGTTTCATAATTCAGCATCTATTGATTTCTTTTTTTACTGCATTTAAAACCTATTTTAATTAAGCACCAGCTTTGGTTTGCTTGTGTTTTAACGCACGGCTTCTACGGATCTCTATGTTCAATGCTTTGCTAAGTAATTACTTAAATGTTTAATTAAATGCTAAGAATCATGTCCTCCACTTCATTAGGTTAGTATAAACTGGGTCTGGATAATGCTTGGTAGATATATGGAAATAATTAATCAAAATGATCGTAATCTCATTGTGAAGTTGGGAAATCAAATTTGCTTCAAGTTTGAGAAAACCTGCCAAAGGCTGAAGGTTTTGTTTCAGAGATTTATTTTATTTTAAACAAAAGTCGCATATCAAATTAAATTTACAGGATTTATCAGAGATATTTTATCCACAGACTTCAGATAAGCATAAATTTTTACCTGTAAAGACATTAATTAAACCCATGTGACATGTTAGCATTGCAAAGAATAATGGATATTACTAATAGAAATTAAAAATAGCTGTTTTGTTTAAGAATGATTTGCCATTAGCTTAACTTGTAGCTGTTAGCATGATTCTGATCACTTCGTTTAGATTGACTCTTGTTAAGTAAAAGGTAAGTTTAGCTGTTAGCGCCATTAACAGCTTAATTCTGACATAGTTAAAACTTAACTTTGCAGTTTCACATTGAACCACTGTTTACTCTGAGTAGCTGTGAGCTTGATGTTAGTTTAAGTAGGAGTTAGCTTGATTCTGGTTAGCTGTTAGTCTGATTCTGGTTAGCCGTTAGCCTGATTCTGCTCTCGCTCTGTTAGCTTTGAGCTGGACTGTTAGCTTAACTACAAGTAGCTGTTATATTTTGAGTCTAATTTTAACTCTTAGCTGGTAACAACTAAGAATCATGTCAAAAGGCCAAATTTTTAAGTTACTGGCCTCTCTATGTTAACTCTGCACTGTTCTGATTTATATTTAAAAGCTGTAATATATATAAAACTGCATTCAGCTTATTTTATTTTAAGACAAAGTGGACATTTTAAGCTGTTAATAGCATCATATATTAGCATTTAGCATAATGTAGATTCTTACCTTGAATCTAAAATCTCCAAAGGCTACCAACATTTCTAAATCTGGCACAAGTAATTTTTCAATAAACTCTTAAAATGATGCAAAAAAAAGAAGACAATGCGAATTAGCTGTGTTCCCGGGTTCTGGTTTGAAGCACATCAACCGGGCTACACAAAGCGTGACGCTACGCATGACTGTAGTAAACAGGAAGCAGAGGATGAAAACTAGCATGGACCTTAGAAAAACATAGAGTCCTTCTCCCTGAGTCGGAGGTTTGGACATTTTTCTGAGTTTTGTTCGTCTGTTCCACCAGCGGGTGGGACAGAGGAACAAGGTTCTCTACACAAATTATTCGGCAAAAAGCCAAAAACCATCTGAAGTGAAAGTAAAAACTTGTCTGCAAAATTAAAGAAGGTTTTTTGTTGTTCAAATTTTGCTGTCTCCATCAACTGACTCTTTAAAATTATAGATCAAATGGCGCCCCCTAGCTGTAATGCCTTTGGCCTTCCTGTTATCTACCGGTAGTTTCTCTCTCCCAGCTTGAATGAATCTCGTGCATTTCAGCAGTAAATACATATTTTTAAATATGTGACTGTGTGATTGGAGGGTTATTGATTTATTTTGATGATCACATCATGACACATTACTGGACCATGTGTTGCGAGTGGAGTGCATGATTGCATGAGCGTCGTTTTGCCTCCCTAAACCTTCAAGCGAGTCACATCATGTAAAGTTTCTCATTATTTACCACCTTTAGTGTCTCCGGGCTTCAGACTCCCAAAACGTTAAACATCGAGTTTGGCGTTCCCGTTTGTCCGAATGAAAGGAGTCGGCGTGAGAGGCTATCGAAAGCGAGTTAAATGATGTATATCTGATTCAGCCCCTCTCTTCACGCGCACCTCTCTCCCCAGAGACTCCCTTCACTCCTGTTTCTCTCGAGTCAGGGCCTCCCTCTGCTTACAGAGCGAATTGCAGCTGCAGAGAGGGAGGGTCACGCACGGCTTTTCTGTTTTCGAAGGACTCAGAGAGGCGCCAGCTTCCAATAAAACCCACCTTCCCTTTAACCTGGAGGCAGAGCGAATGTGCGAGACGCCTGGTGTGAAATTTTTGTAAACATGTGAGAAATTGAAATCAATACGCGCGGCTCCTTGGGCAGAAAGCAATAAAGTTCATTAACAAGGTGCAGCCACATCATCTGGAGGAAAAAAGTGTGTGTATTTATTGCAGCTTTTATTTTTTTCCCATCGCTTTGTCCCTTTCGGTGTGGCAGCTGTTTAAGTGTGCGTGCATTAGTTTGAGGTGGAGTCCCTCCGCAACATCTGCAATGCAGCAGAAAACACAAAAAAAAAAGAAAAGGAGAGAGAGAGGAAGAAAGAGGCTCTGACTCAGACCGACTTTTGGTTTAGCTGCTTCATTAAAGTGCTTTTATACTGGAATCCAGAGTGCCTACTGTCACATCCTGTGTAGCAACAGATTAACTTGACATGAATGCATTTTTAAGGCACATCTGCATCGCGCTCATCCACCAGGACGACGGCCGGGGAGGGACTCCACCTCTTAGCAGCTATCGCACTTTAATTTGAAACTTTTCCTTACCTCTGCCTGGGTGTTTTGACTATAATTTAAGGCAATATGGATTGTGATGTTGGTATTTATCGGTGGAATTACTGTGAATTGTGTCGACATTATAATTCCATGTTCAGTCTAGATATGTGTGATTTTTTTGGGGGGGGGTGTCTAAAGTCATGCTGATCTGGTTTTACTGACGTTTAAAATTGTGTGAATTTAACCTCAAGTGCACAAAAAGAAACATCAGGATCCTGTCTGACTTTATTTATCAAACCAGAACCCAGCCGAAATGGACTGAAAGAACCGTTAGAAGGCGTTTTCTGTGTGTTGGCCCACTTATTCAGTACGTTGAAGGTCCCATTGTAAAACCTCAAGGTCTGGAGTTTGACTGGACCATTGTGGCGCCTTGATTATTTTCTTTTTCGGCCATTTTGCTGCAGGTTTCTTGATTCTGGGACGATAGTCCTGTTTATGACCAAATTGTAGCATTAAAAAAGGAAATTACACAAGGTGCGTTTCCATTGCAAATATCAATATTCCACTAATGACGGAAAACAAACTCACAATTTTGGTGTTTCCATTAAATAAATGAAATAAAAATTACGTGAATAAGTTTGTTCACGCCATCCGTCACTGAAAAAACACGCAGCGCCATTATCCTTTAGAACCAAACCAACATGAACTGGACCAACTCTTGTTGGTTTCAAAACGTTGGGAACCAAAGAATCTAAAGGTTTTGGAACCAAACTGGGTTGGTTTGTGTTGGTTCCAAAGTGTTTGGTTTGGTACCACAATGCCGACATGGACATAAAACGTTCCTTTTGAACTTCTTCTTCGTTTATTAAATATAGCCAGTGTGGATCCTGTTGACTGTTTATTGTGTAGTCTTGAAGTTAAGAATGCATTAATTTTAAAAGCAGGTAAAGATAAAATAGTTTTCCTAATTCTCTTACATTAAAAGAGGGTGTACTTTCTTTTCACCATGTGTTTTCCCTCCACGTTGTGGCATATGTGAGGATGAAACCTTAACTTATAGAGGAAACGTTTCATACTGACCAATAGTCATCAGTCTGCAAACACCTTCTTCATGTTATTATTTTCTTTCAACTGTTGTGTGAGTCTTCCAGAGAAACCGTAAAGAAATCACTGCAAATGTTTTGTTTCAATTCCCGTCTTCCAAATGCAAAAAGAGTGCTTCCAGTTATCAAAGCCACAATGAGACTATTTTTATATCCTACTGGGGCAAAAAAGTACATATATCTAAATATATTCCTTCTATATATGTGTATCCATGCAAGCGTGCCGGGGGAAACGGGGCGACTCTTCCTGTTTCCAGCTGGGTGGAAAAACGGCGCTACTCTCTGCCATCCAGACCTACAGATCATTGGGGAAAAAGGAGCTAAAAGGGGATCATAGAGAGAGCCCTGGAGCTCAGACTGCATCCAAGTGGAGGGACTGTGAGCATGCATGCGCTGATCATTTACTGGACAGGAGTTACCCAGTATTTACTCTTTGACCCCCTTTAACCACCTAATCTTCTTCTCACTCTCTGCATTTGCAATATGATCTGTATTTATTTCTATGATAACTTACACAAAGTCAACGGAGATGTATTATTGGATATAATTGAATAAAACAAACTAATATATTTGTATGATTGTAACACTTGTATCTGAAGAGTTTTTTAATGGGGAGGTTAATGGGATTATCATTCTGGTGACATATTGCCACTGTTTATCGTAGTACTATGCAGTAAGTAATACTTTCACCCGCCAGTTTTTTGTGATTCCATTATGGCGGAAACTTAAATCAACAAATTCCTGAATTTTTAAGCTTGACTGCATTTTAGGGACACTGTGGGCAACTCCAGGCTACGAGGGACGGCCTTTTAGATGTATCTACTTCAACACACCTGAGTCACATAATGAGGTCATGAGCAGGACCCTGGAGAACTTTACTGCATTTAGGAAGTGATTCAGCGACTGGATTCAAGTGTGTTGAACCAGGGAGGCGTGTAAGAGGTGCAGGACAGCGGTCCTCGAGGACCAGGATTAGCCAGCCACCCTGGAAAAATAAAAAAGGAAATGTACATTTTTTGTCAAAAAACTAAAATTTTGATATTAACCACAGAGATTTTTTTAATCTGAAAATCTCAGAGTATGAAAAATTGGAAAATTTTGCTTTTTGGACATTTTTGTAAAGTCGAGAAAATATTTATTTTTGAAACTAAAAACTTTACAACATTTATGAGATTAATCTCAAAATTTGTGACGTGTTTCCCTTCAAACTTTTGACTTCTGTCGAAAGTGAAAAATGTCCTCGTTTTATGTCGAAAATTTTTGACTTTTTCAAACAAATTTGCATATTTCTTGGTGGAAATTTACTATTCCTTCTTTTGATTGTTTTTGTATAGACAATGGCTTTAATAGGCCGTTGTATTCATGTGCTAACGAATCGTGAGTTTACGCCAAATTAATACAAAAAATAAGTATTATTAATTAAAATAAGTTTAAAACGTCGGGTTTCAGTGATGTTAACTCCCACCTGCAGGTGGCAGTGTTTCTTCTAATAACCTGTCTAGGATTCGTCACATACAGTGATCTTCATGAAATACAAACAGCAATGGCGTGGTGTCACATTTCAGGATTTATCCTTTATGATTAATAAAAGACTATGTGCCATCTGTCCCACTAGCGTTAGCCTCGAACGTTTGTTTTGGTTGCATTTACCCAGAATGCCCTGCGCTGTAGTCCACTTCCTGCTTTTGGAGCGTTCTCCGGTCTGCTTGTTATCCACATTCAAACCGCAGAAAAGTCGAGCAGACAGCGATAACGTAAGGGTTGTTTTGGTTCTTTACAATTTATTGCTTTATTTTAGGATTTAATGAACATTTTCACTTCAATAAGAAAGGCCTAATATTGCGTTTTGAGGTTATGGCTAGCTAGCTAATCATTAGCTGTAAGCTACTAAAACGCTGGTAACTTTAACACAGTCTTTGGATAGTTATCCTAACCCAGTGTGTGATTACATTATTTAGAAGAAACTGTTTATTTTTGAGCCGTCTTGACGCTCAGGTCGACTTTAGCAGACTGAAGATCTACGGCTGGATTAGCAGCACATCCGGGTCCCAACGTGCCCTGATATCTGTGTGTGTGAAGCCACTACAACACAAGAACCAATGCAAATGTGCGATAAGGAGCCCAGTTTGGCTGCATGAGAAACACATTAGGAGGCGAGATAAGTCCTGAAAGCCGCTTTGTCAGTAAAGACCATTTATATTCTTCCAGGACGGAAAGTGCAGCTGTTTACAAACAGGTCACTGCTCACATTCACAGCAGTCTTTAAAGCTCAATTATTTTACTTTACAAGAATATTTATCTTTATATTCTTGTTGAAACTGTCACTAAGTTGTGACCGTTTGGTGTAAACAGAGTTTCCAAAAACTGTACTCCAGTAAAAGTAAAAATACTTCAACATATTTTTACTTAAATAACAGATATCTGTCCAATAAATTACTCAAGCAAGACTACAACGGTATTTGGTCAAAAGTTTACTGAAGTGCAGATGACATGATCAAATATTTAACGATAAAAAAATGCATCATCAGATGTACCAAAATATAAAGTTAAGTGGAAATTTTGGTATTTTAAGGGTGAAAATGACAATTATTCATATGAGTAACAAAATCAAGCAAAGTAAAGTTTATCAAATCATTTTCTTTCAATAAAAACTGATGAAACGTTAACAAAACTGCAGGTTTGTGTTTGTTGAATTTCTGGTTACAACATGTTTGTTTTTCATTCAGTGGATAAAGAAGTTTTACTCTTAAGAGTCGAAATATTTTACAATAAAATTACTCAAGCAAAATTAGAAAGTACAGCACAATAAAAAAGTTGAAACAATCGAGCTCCTCTGGCTTCTCCCATTGCTAACTAGAAACAACCAGTCATAGCCAGGAGGCGGGTCTTAACGCTGTCAATCAATCTCCCTTTGTCATAAATGCTAATGGTAAGCTGTTTCTCCTCCTTGAGCACGTTTGTAAGGACATGCACAAGATTGATTGACAGCACTAAGCCCCTCCCCCTGGCTCTGATTGGTTGTTTTGGTTTTTAGCGGTTCATCAGATGGAAATGGTAGGTCAATAACTAAGTGGAGGAGATCATAAGAAAACATATTTTTTATGAAAGTTTAACCAAATACATAGCTTCAAAATATCACTTGTAATTTTGTTAATTAAGCTGAAATGATCATTTGTTGCAGATAAAAAGTTTTAAGTGAACCATTTGTGATTCTGAGTTGTCTCCTCCCTCCTGACCACAGATGTGCTGAGTGACTCTGGCTGCTAGCTGTTAATAGTTACCTTCTTTCATAATTAAATTGGCCACGGGCCAAATGGCACAGACAGCAGATCGTAAATTAAGGCTGAGTGGATCGGCGAAAGATGAGCGTTAGAGCAGAGTGGCGTGAAAAGATGAGTGTAGGAATGTGTTAAAAGAAGAGAGACGTTTCACTTCATGAGCCTCGAAGAATGAAACCGCATCTGGCAGGAAAATCTCATCAACTCTGTTAGGAAAGCAGACAGGTAGCTTTGGTGTTTCTGTAGCTAACATTCATACTTTTATTACTCAGATTTTTTCTGGTGTTTAGTTGAATTACAAATATTCTGTCAGATAATTCAGTCAAATGCAACTGAATACAGTGTTAGGGAGCGAATGGATGAATGAAGGTGCCATTTTTGGTGATTTCAGTTCTGCAACAAATTGCAGAAGACGTTTAAATAAGAATTTAGGAACCATCAAATGTTGAAGTTAACCAGTAGAAAGAGGAGAAAAAATTCCTTTGGCCTCAAATGAACTGATTTTATAAGAACAGGATTTTGTCACTTTCTTTCAAAAATGCTTTCTGACGTTAATCAACCTGGTTCTGCTTATTCTAAAAACATAATTATAAAAAGTCAAATACATAATAAATGAAATAATTATACCATAATTGCAAATAAAAAATCTTCATATGTGTCCACCAGGGCCACTCAAAAAGCATCCAGGAGCCACAAACGGCCCCCGCGCCACACTTTGGACACCCCTAAGTCAGAACAAGAGCAAAAATGTCCCTCAGGATAGTAGAGATTGCTGGATTTACTAATTTACCAGTGGAAATCAGAGGCTAGTCTTCGTTTTGATCGTTGTACCGTTAAGTCTTTGCATTGTACGCTGGTTTGGGTCCAACATGCCTGACCCACATAGGCCGGGAGCCCCTCCCTCCTCGGGGTAATCAGACACGACCAGTTGTCCAGGCGGGCCTGACTGACAGACAACAACAGCTCAAACCGGCCAAACCAAACCCAGCTTCAGAAGGCTCTCCTCTGCTGGATCAGAAAGGAGAAAATCTAAATCTGAGGAGTTGGGTTAACCGGTTTGAAGATCCAAAGGTCCGCCATGGAAAACCTGCTGAGCAAGTTGCTGCTAGCATGTTGCTTATTCGGCCTGAGCGCGTTAGGAGGTAAGACACATCACAGGACGAACTCAAACTGGAGCTGTGGTCAGGATATAATTTATATAGAGACCAAAACAAAAAGTATGGAATGATATTGTTGCTCTACTGTAGTTGATTTCACAGAAAAACTAAAATACCAGATATATTCTGATTAAAAACATCCCAAAAATTTATTTGGTCTTCGTTCCCAAACTTCTCACCTTCAAAATAAAAGCAGCATCAACGTCTGACCCTGACAACCAACAGCAGAAGAATATAAACAATAATAATAAACAACAACTTTGCCTCAAACTCTGCTAAAAATGTTAAACGGTAACATTGTTTTAACTTTATGGCAAATACTGTGTTAATATCTTTCAGTTTTACTAAATAAACATTTTAGTTTCCAGATGCTAACTCAGACATGCTAACGTGCATTTGTTTGGCGAGGTGCACAAAACTGATGGCAGGTTGACTCCAGCTGTGTCTTGATTACAAATGTCCACAAAACTTTGTCTGCATGTTGAATAAACATAATTTCTTAATTGAGGTGTTTCCTTTAATCAAATGCATTTAGAATCACATGTGAATAAGTTTGAAGAAGTTATTAAAAATGTCTCCTAACCACTTCCTGTTAGGAGATCGTTGTACCGTTAAGTCTTTGTTGTCGTTTCTTTGTGGTTTCCACCAGTAGTAACATCCAAGTGTTGTTGATGTGACTTGTGGTGCGAAAAAATGTTTGTGTATCAGTTTAGTGAAATAGTACAATTTTATGCACCCAAACAATCCTGACACCAAAACATTTTATTCCAAACTCTCCATTTAGCAGTTTTATTTTTAAAATGTGCAATTATATGAGCAATAGAAACGTACGGAGCTAAATTGGGGTCATAAAGTTTGTTCTAATGAAGAAAAAGAATGGAACTACAAAAATTGAAAAAAACATTTAAACTAATTAAAATATAAAATTAAGATTTGAAACAGATTTTTTATAAAAAATAAAGACTGAAAATAAAGATTTGAAACTTGCAAAAATGTTGAAACTAAAAAAATAAATAAAAAGTGAAAGTTAAGATTTGGAACTGAAAACATATTTTTGAAACAAAAAAATAAAAACTTAAAGATCTGAAACTGAAAAAATTTTTTAAAAAACCTAAAAAATAAGATTTGAAATTGAAAAGACTAAAGATC